ATTTATTTATTTTTTGTGTCAGTCTACACAAAAAGTTGTCGAAATAAAGTTTAATTTTCAGCTTCAGTAGCTTTTCCGGTGGGAAAGTGAATGTAGTTGGTATATCGGGGAGGATAAAATCCMCAKCAGTTTTCAAAATTTTCAGGAAAAGCAAAGAAAAATTCAGGAAAAACGGGAATTTTTACGCAAATTCGGATTTTGGATCTTGGTGTAACTCTAAGACAAATTACCGTGTACACATGAAATTTACACTGAATATTTATATTGGTATTTTATATACTTGATTACATTTTAAAAATATTTCAAATATTTGTAAGCGATTTATAGACATTTTWAATTTAAATTTTTTCGTTTTTTTTCTACGTATTAAAGTCAATAAAAAAAGGTTAAAAAGCTTCAAAATTTAATACCATACTCCTTACAATGACAGTTAAAAAGTATTAAAGTACATAGTCACAATTTTTTTTTAAAGCATTTCAAACTTAAATTTTGATAAAATTTATGAAATTGAAAATTTTATAAATTATTTAGTTGTTAAAAATGTATAAAACGTTCAACTATTGTAGTTAAATATCGAAAATTTAAAACAAGGTCTTACGTAATTAGCTAATTCAGTAACAAAAAAAATCTAAAAACTGTACAAACATTTTTTTTAAATAGTTATTTTAAGTTCAAACTTGCACAAAATTCCATACTAAATAACCTAACCTAACCAATTTTTTTTGGTTATATTTTTGTAATTTAAAAATATTGTTCGTCGACACTTGAAATTTTTAGAGTTTACTTTATATTCTAATTACTGAGTGAGTCGGGTACATAATGAATCTGATTTGATTAATTTGGAATTTATTTTATAGGTACCTACATTTTTTTAAAAATAATAACAATATAATTAATATAGTATAAAATATCTTAGACTTACAAACCGTCTCCGCTCAGAATAGTTTTTCATATACATATAATGATATCATATAATTGAATTCAAATTAAATACCATTCATTACAGTTACCCACTTACAGTTTACCTTCTGTACAGCAGAGCGATATCCAATTACCCGCTTTTTTGTATTTAATTTATCCTAACTGATAAAAATATTGAATATTAATTATGTTCCAGCCGATGAAAAGTAAACTTCTTAATCAAATTGAAAATCTTTAATTTTTTTAAATC